GCAGACCGAAGATACCGAAAGATCTCAATACCAGTAGGATTATCAAGAGACCGACGGGCATATCGAGAGACCAAGAGACCGACGGGCATATCGAGGGACCAAGAGACCGATGGGCATATCAAGAGACCAAGAGACCGACGGGCATATCAAGAGACCGACGGGCATATCAAGAGACCGACGGGCATATCGAGAGACCAAGAGACCGACGGGCATATCAAGAGACCGACGGGCATATCAGAGAGACGGGCATATCGAGAGACCAAGAGACCGACGGTCATATCGAGAGACCGACGGGCATATCGAGAGACCAAGAGACCGACGGGCATATCGAGGGACCAAGAGACCGACGGGCATATCGAGGGACCGAGAGACCGACGGGCATATCGAGAGACCAAGAGACCGACGGGCATATCGAGGGACCAAGAGACCGACGGGCATATCAAGAGACCAAGAGACCGACGGGCATATCAAGAGACCGACGGGCATATCAAGAGACCGACGGGCATATCAAGAGACCGACGGGCATATCGAGAGACTAAGAGACCGACGGGCATATCAAGAGACCGACGGGCATATCGAGGGACCAAGAGACCGACGGGCATATCAAGAGACCAAGAGACCGACGGGCATATCAAGAGACCGACGGGCATATCGAGGGACCGAGAGACCGACGGGCATATCAAGAGACCGACGGGCATATCGAGAGACCAAGAGACCGACGGGCATATCGAGGGACCGAGAGACCGACGGGCATATCAAGAGACCGACGGGCATATCAAGAGACCGACGGGCATATCAAGAGACCGACGGGCATATCGAGGGACCGAGAGACCGACGGGCATATCAAGAGACCGACGGGCATATCAAGAGACCGACGGGCATATCGAGGGACCGAGAGACCGACGGGCATATCAAGAGACCAAGAGACCGACGGGCATATCGAGGGACCGAGAGACCGACGGGCATATCGAGGGACCAAGAGACCGACGGGCATATCGAGAGACCAAGAGACCGACGGGCATATCAAGAGACCAAGAGACCGACGGGCATATCAAGAGACCCCCGAAGACAGACCGTAACACCAAGACACCTAAAAAGACAGACCCCAAATCCAACAGACCCAAAAAAACACGAAACCCACCAGACCCAAGAGACCAAAATCCTCGACCAAGGAAGAAGACTCAGACCAGCCGGGAGACCAGCGCTGGAGCACCGCCGCTGCCTGGTCCCTTGTCCTAGTAATTGACTCGGGTGACTTGACTCTTTCCCTGTGTAAAGGCGAAACTGATGTTCGTTTTCGCCGCGCTGTAAACTCCACATCAGAACACCGCCTCGTGTTTTGGAAGGGAGGGGGGAGGGGGATATTTCTCTCTCTTCTTCCTCTTCTGTTGTGGGTTGTGGGTCCTCTCTTCTTCTTTTTTAGGGGGGGAGGGGTAACGGAGGAGGAGGGTAAGGGCATTGTTGTTGTTGTTGTTGTTGGTGTTGTTGTCTGTGTGGGTCGTGTCGGTGGTTTCGAGAGTAGATTCGTCATCGTCGGTAGTATTGTTGCTGCTACTACCACTTCTGTTATTATTATCATTATTGTCATGATTATCATCACTGCAAAAGAGAGAGAGAGAGAGAGAGACAGACAGACAGACAGAGATAGAGAAGAAAGAGAGTGAGAAAGACAGAAAGAATGAAAAAAGAGAGAAAGACAAAGACAGAGAAACAAAGAGAAACAAAGAAAGAAAGGAAAACAAGACAACCAAAAACACCTAAAAGAAAATAAAGGAAGAAACAACGCGAGATAAAACGCGTTGATGAGAGAGGGCATGACTTCCTCCCCCTAAGTGATTCTTGCTGGTCACTACCGCATCGCTCAGGTCTCCGCCGGTGTTGGGCGCAGGAGGTTAATGGCACTTGGCAACTCAGGGAGGCTGCGCGCGCCCTTCGTCATGCGGGGAGACGGAGGCCGGGCGTGGGTCGGCGATGTAGAGGTAGATAGACAGACAAACGGATTGATAGAGAGAGAGAGAGAGACATTCGTTTATTCATACATTTATATATATACATATGTGTGTATGTGTGTGTGTGTGCTTTGTGTGCGTGTGTCTGTGTGTGCTTTGTGTGCGTGTGTGTGTGTATGTGTATGTGTGTGTGTGTGCTTTGTGTGCGTGTGTGTGTGTATGTGTGTGTGTGTGTGTGTGTGACATAATGATACAGATAGATATATAAATACACTGGTGTATACATATATCTCCAGGTGGCAATGATCACAGTGAGAATTATCGTCATCATCAGCATCATAATCATCATTATTTTCTTTATTATCAATATCATTCTTACCTTTCATAATCAATACGATCTTTTTCATCATCGATATCATAAAAAGTAGTATTTCTATTGATATTATCATCATTATCAATACTACTCATGATACTAACATCAATATTGACATTTTTTTATCAATAGCAACGTCAATATGCTTGAATGTGATAGTTATTAGTATTAGTCTTAATGTTAATTAACGTCATATCGTAGTTATTTCATGCATGCACTATTTTTTTTTGTAATAAGATAATGATGATTTTAATAATATAAAGGATAATTATTGATAAGGGAATAAGAAGAGAAGAGACAACAAGGAAGATAAAAGATAACGAATAGGGAAGAGGACATAGAGGACATGATATATCGAAGATAAGGAAGAGACAAAGACAGAAATTGAGAAGAAATATAAAGGAGTTTAAGGACGAACGTGTGAAAAGGAAGGAGAGAAAAGACCAGATAACGAAAGAAAAGGAAAAGAGGTAAATAAAGAAGTGAAACGGAAATAATAAAAAAGGGAGAGAGAGAAAACGCGAGATATAGAAAAGGCAAAAGGAAGTAAAAAGAGATAACCACAGATAAAACAAGGAAAAGGAAACAGGGAAGAGAAAGAGGAACGACCAGGTAAAGAAAGAAAATAAGAAGAAAGAAAATGATAGAGAAAAATACAAAAAAGCTAAAAAGAGGAAAAAGAGAAGAGAAAGAGAGAACAGAATAAGAAAAGAGACTTAGAAAGAGAAGAGGAATTCCGCCCCTTAAGCCACGCCCACCGAAATGGCACCGCGAGTGGCACGCGTCGCCATATCATGTCACTATATTGCATCAAAGGAGCCAGCGCGTCCTTCCGGTGATGGGAATTACGCCCTTGTATCCTTCCGCCCGAGGGTCGATTATTCCTCGCCCGACCGCGAGTAGATCGAACCGCTGCAAAAGTTTAGCTTAATTGTAAAATCTGACTTTTATGTTAATTAACTACTTAAGTGGATAAAAACCTTTAAAGCAGTTTAAGGAGTTATTATGACAGTTTAATGGCACTTTTACGTCCCAGGTTCTTTTATTACGTTCGTTTTATGAGGAGATTTGGAATGAGATTCGTATGCACTCGTCGTGTTATCGGGCCCGGGGTTGCGCTGTGGGTTTTAGTCTACTTCTAATCTATTTTGACAAGTTTAAGTTTGGAAATTTCAATCGGTAGGATGCGTTCGTTAACTTTAGAAATGATTGCCGAAGGAAGGAGTCATTGTCGCGACGGATGGGAGTTATTTGTGCGAATGCGAATGCTGAGACACGCAAAGCGATGCTCAATTTTTTTTTTTTTTAACGCGAGATATAGAAAAGGCAAAAGGAAGTAAAAAGAGATAACCACAGATAAAACAAGGAAAAGGAAACAGGGAAGAGAAAGAGGAAAGACCAGGTAAAGAAAGAAAATAAGAAGAAAGAAAATGATAGAGAAAAATACAAAAAACTAAAAAGAGGAAAAAGAGAAGAGAAAGAGAGAACAGAATAAGAAAAGAGATTTAGAAAGAGAAGAGGAATTCCGCCCCTTAAGCCACGCCCACCGAAATGGCACCGCGAGTGGCACGCGTCGCCATATCATGTCACTATATTGCATCAAAGGAGCCAGCGCGTCCTTCCGGTGATGGGAATTACGCCCTTGTATCCTTCCGCCCGAGGGTCGATTATTCCTCGCCCGACCGCGAGTAGATCGAACCGCTGCAAAAGTTTAGCTTAATTGTAAAATCTGACTTTTATGTTAATTAACTACTTAAGTGGATAAAAACCTTTAAAGCAGTTTAAGGAGTTATTATGACAGTTTAATGGCACTTTTACGTCCCAGGTTCTTTTATTACGTTCGTTTTATGAGGAGATTTGGAATGAGATTCGTATGCACTCGTCGTGTTATCGGGCCCGGGGTTGCGCTGTGGGTTTTAGTCTACTTCTAATCTATTTTGACAAGTTTAAGTTTGAAAATTTCAATCGGCAGGATGCGTTCGTTAACTTTAAAAATTATTGCCGAAGGAAGGAGTCAATGGCGCGACGGATGGGAGTTATATGTGCGAATGCGAATGCTGAGACACGCAAAGCGATGCTCAATTTTTTTTTTTTTTTTTTTTTTTTTTTTTTTTGCGTTTTTCGTTGTTTTTTTTCGCGATGCTCTTTTTTCCACGTTTTTTCTTCTTCTTTTTTCTTCTTTTTAATTCTTCCCATTTTTATCTCTATAATACGGAGCCCCCCCCGCCCCCCATTTTTTTCTTATAAATGAGCCCCAGGGAGAGAAGATCACATTAATCGCTTACATATAAACGAGATTCCAATCGCTCCGGGTATTACGGCGCGGAACTGGCCCTAGAATAGTTAATGCGATGATGACGCGGAGCCGATCATCTCCGCAGATAATCGTGAGGCTCGGCCATTCGTGTAGGTGTGACAGCGCGCGATGACATAAAGATAAGGGCGGGCTGTTATCTCTCCTGTCTTTGGAACAGAAAAATGCTCTTCCGTTGCAGTACAGATTGTTAAAAGCGAAAAAAAAAAAATATATATATATATATACATATATATATATATATATATATATATATATATATATGTGTGTGTGCGTGTGTGTGTGTGTGTGTGTGTGTGTGTGTGTGTATGGCGGGAATAACTTGCAGATGGGATACGTTTTGTTTTTTTGTTTTTTTTTTGTGTTTTTTTCCGAATTGCATAATGATAATAACAACAATGAATTGGAATAGATAATATATAATAATAACTATTTGAGAATCCTATTTTTTTTTTTTATGGGGGGGGGGGAGACAGTTGAGATGACATACCAAGATGTCCTCTTATATTGCCCCAGAGAAAAAAGCGCCCTAAAAATTCTCTCCATAAAAAAAACAACAGATAATGATAATAATAAAATGAAATATAAAAAAAAAATCACACAGTTACGCCAAAGGGGACACTGAAGGACGTTATCTCGAGGCTTGGGAGACACAGGCCAACACCCGCGCCAGAGTGCAGGGAGGGGCAGGGCAGGGGGGAGGGGGAGAGAAGAGGGAGGTGGGTGGGGATGGGCAGGGGAGAGGGAGAGGAAGAGGGGGGTGGGGATGGGCAGGACAGGGGAGAGGAGAGGGAGGTGGGTGGGGAGGGGCAGAGGAGGGGGGAGGAAGGGGGGAGAAGGAGGGAGGGGGATGGGGATGGCATGGGTAGAGGGAGAGGGAGTTGGGTGGGGATGGGCAGGGGAGAGGGAGAGGGAGGTGAGTGGAGATGGATAGAGGGGAGAGGGAGAGGGCGGTGGGTGGGGACGGGCGGGGGAGAGGGAGAGGGAGATGGGTGGGGATGGGCAGGGGAGGGGGAAGGGGGAGGAGGGTAGTGGGATGGAGACAGAAGGGGAGGGGAGAGGCAGGATAGAGAGGAGAGTGGTGGGTAGGAGTGAGTGGAGGTGAGAGTGAGGTTGGTTGGGTAGAGGGGGAAGGGTAGGGGTAGGAGTAGAGGGGTTGGATGGAGGGGAAAGGGAGGTTGACATGGATGGACGGGGGGGGGGGGAGTAAGTGGGGAGGGCCCTAGAGGATCCATTGGTGTACATTGCGAATGAATTTACGGATTGCATATCTAGTTATATATTCATGAATCTATCGATCTTTCAGCACAAGGTGTCTATGAGAACCAGGGCAAAATTCAGGGGTATTTAGTAAGCAGAAGCATAACTAGAATTTTATGGTAGGGGTTTTCTACTGAGGGTCTTTAATGCTTCTCTCTTACACCTGTTACGAGCAAATTAATCACTTCCATGTTATGCCAAAATATGTACTGCCCACAATCAAGTATTATATCAAAATACAAATCCTAAGAGGTGTATAATGACATAGCTGAATGATTATATATCTATTTAAAGAGAATTATTGAGCATGGTTTAACACACAAAAAAAAATGTTCATTGGGGA